TTGATTACCAGACCAAATATTTCATGATTATTTGATAATCTAGGACTGTATTTTTTATTATTTGCCTTTTATCTTGTTTAAAAAAATAATTATTGATTATGTGATTATATTGGCAAAAAATTTGTGATTGTGTGATTACTCGGACACCCCCATGAGGGCCTCATTTTGCTTCGTACAATTTGACGTCTGAAACTTTTCCTTTTGTTTGCAGAGATTCTCAAACTTTAATTACAAAGTTTAATATGCGGATCATAAGTTGGAAATGGATGCAAGGGCAAAAAAGGTGTTCGGATCACCTGAAATTGGAAGAATCTTCTTTGAAGTTTTGGCATATTGATTAAAAATTTTGTGGAAACGATCCAAACCAAACACCACGTTGAGCTTTTGTTGCCAATCTAATTTTAAGATGGCCATCACCGTTTAACAAAGTTTGACATAGAAACGGCTTATGTGATAATGATCAATACTGAAATTCACTATGACGTAAAGTTCCCTCAGAAAACCATCCCCCACATTTAAAACGAAATCTATTTGTTGAAATTTTCATATGCCATGGGCCATTAAATATTCGATTTTCAAGTTCCCCGAGCGTTATACGTACGTGAGGGCTATAGATTATCTTTTACGTTGTGCGAAGAATTTCACAAAAGGTAACTCATCTACATGCCTTTTCTGACGGACCCATATCCATAGAATAACAAGAACAAGAACATATTTTATTACCAATTAAGAGCCCACAAGGGGCATATAGAGAATACATGTATAAGGAAAAAGAACATTGATTAACATAGCTATATAGAATTTAAATACACAATCACACTACAATTAGACTGTAATAAAGCCCTTGGTTTAAAGTATATAATACAGTTACATGAAAAATAAATATATCTAACTTATATCGACTTCAATAAATTTTCAAACAGCATTAAGGACATGATTGTCTCCACAGCTTAATAAATAAATGAATTTTTGCTGATTGTCCAGTATAGAAAAGTTTGGAATTTTTTGGCAAACAGTCAAAGAGAGCATCTCTATCAGAGTTAAATTTTTCACATGAAGTTAAAAAATGGATTTCATCTTCAACACAGCCAGAGGAGCATTTTTTTGCAAATTCTTTCATTTCGTGGAATATTTGAAAAACGGCCAAATTCAATTTGAAGCTTATGAGCAGATATACGTCATTTGAAAATAGCCATGTCCGTAGCGCGATCTATCAACACGGGATATATATATATATATATTCCTTCTCAAAGGGTCAAACAGATATTATCCGAATTTGGAATAACCTTTAGCTTAATTGAGAGTTTCGATTCGTATGACGTCATGTTTTGACATGACGTTAAGGATGTACTTAAGTGAAATTAAAAAAATCTAGAATTTAAAATTGATACTATAAGTCAGAAGAGCATTAGTTAAGGAACAAAATAAGCTAAAATATTGATAGGTTATGTAATGGAGCTCCTTTTCGAGATAATTTTTAAAAAGTGGCGGGAAAAGGCTGACTCGGACTTTTACCTTATATTAGCATTGGTATTATTTGGGTGTCAAATCGAAAGAAAAGAAATCTAGAATCTGCTTTAATTGAAGAAAACTATCACACGGTATAATCTTCGATGTTTTGTTTGAAAGAGAAACAGTAATGAACAGGTGCTTGCATCAATTAGAAAATATGGGCATATGTGTCCCGGGCTCCGGCACAGTCGGTGTGGACAAATGTACGTGTCCCTCCGACAGCAAGAAGGTTAAATTTATACATTTTTCGAGCTCTGGTGCATTAATTCTTTTTGTTATGATAAGATAAGATAAGATAAAATATTGTTATGAATTAGAATAGAAATAACAGTTCTGTCGTTTTGTTTTCAATTTCATTTTTTTAAACACAGTGAAATCGAGATAGTGTTTGCACATATGTTACGATAGTCATCATACAATAACAGAGGGACGGACAGGGGGGGGGGGGTACCCTTCTCCGACCTCCCGCCCCTATCTCCCACCTCCCACTTGTAGAATCTTTTTTTCTCTCCCACCTCTCGGCCCCCTTCCTCCCACCCCCAACTCTCACCTCCCACCTCCCTCAATAGCTATCCACCCCCTCATAACATGTGGATTTACGTGGGAGGTAAACTGTAAGCCATAAATATGCGCATCTGTGATTCTGCGCTAAGTATCACGTTGTTGCTTACAACGCTGAAGCAGGACATCATATTAGAATTTTGAGTTTTTGTAATCGAAACAAGGATGGTCACTACTGTGGAACATAATTTATGATATAATTATGTGGGAAACCCATGCAAATAGTTTATCCTACAAAAGTTAACAGCCTCGAATATTATAGACTCATTATAACCAACTATACACAGGGGCGGATCCAGCCATTTTTAAAGGGGGGGGGGGGGTTCCAACTATTTCTCCATGGTGTTCCCCCCCGGACCCCCCTCCCCCCGCTCCTGGATCCGCTACTGATACAATAAATGACAATGTGCTTATTTCAGATGAGTTTTTTGCTACTGGTCTGAATTCCAAGACGGCTGTTATCGTTGAACACAGTTTAGCATAGAACCTTCTGAGAAGGACATAGAAAATCTTTCGTCAGAACACATCTATTGGTGGCACCACCATTCGTAAACTCGCTGAAGAAAACACTTTTAAGTATACTAACAATAATAAAAGAATTAATTACTATGGGGGTACTATCCACACTGAACTGTGTCCACCCTTGTATGGGAGAAATAAATGTATATTTCAATTTGTTTATGAAGCATGAAAAAATAATAGTAATTAATTATCAGATTTTTTTACCTTAATGTAAAGCAACACGAATGCTTGTAATTCTCCTTAAAGTTTATGTCAATCTATTGAATAACTATCCAATTTATAACAAACATTGCTTTCTCTGAGTTCTGACCACCGTTTTGCTTCTTTCCATATATGGGCAAATGGTTCTTCTTGTTGGACATAAAAGGATATTTTCTTATTTTTTTTAGGTAATACCTATTTTCAAACAGGAGTTATGTCCCATATATAAGTTTTGTTTAGGAATTTTTTCTTACCTGTAATCTATTTTTATACGACTGACAACATTGTATATATCAATATATTGTATGTAAACAAAGACATATCCTTTTATCTTCGTCATTTGAAATCTGATGTATAGTTGTCTCATTGGCAATCATACCACACATTTTTAGTCATTATTTCATTACGAACTTACGATTCTTTATACGGATATTATAGACCTCTACCCCATATTTGGAAAAGTTCCTTCAGAGCCGAATCAGTGACTCGACAAAGCCAAACCAACGCTAACAGTAAACATAAAATTATAATCATATATATGATGATCAATTTATTTGTGTCAAGTAATAAAAATAATTGTCTCATTAGTATTTTATAGTACACCAAGTGACTTTATTGTTAATACAATACTTTTAAATACTTTTCGATATATCTTTTGAGATGCATTAGCTGAAGCTGCTTTAACTAACATATATTTTACTTGATTACATATTCATATTACAACAATATACTGAAAATTAAATTCAGACATTTCATATTGAATTTTGGCACTATATTATATATGTTGTGACGAAATTTCACTATTTACTAATGCAACCATTACTCAACTTGAAATAGAAAATCAAAAGTATTAGTGAATTTAATAACAAATATATAACATACTTTTTAAACATTCTCCGTAGATAAGACAAGGAATAAGTTAGAAAGTGAAGTTTCTAGTCCCTCCGGCAAAGTTGACCTAATATACATTTTGCTAATTGTTTGGTGCATTTTGGTCAAAAGGTACTCTCCTATTCAGGTATTTATACATTATAGGGTTATATATTCACATATATGAGGTTGAGCGTTTTGATGATGGTTAATCAGAATAAGCACTTTGGACGCACAAAATTTATCAAGTTTTTTTCACATTGAAATTTATATTGAAAATAGAGCTTTTTAATTGTCATATTTGAACTAAAGATTTGTTGATAACAGTTACAATTCTACAGCTGTTATTTAATCACTGGTCTAACTGCATTCTGAATAATTGTTCTGATATTGTGAAAGGTCTATATTATTGTATTTGGAGCACGAAGTTGTTGTATGAGATAACCTATGAATTTCAAATATCGACTCATCTCAGATTTAGTTGCTCCGGTAAGGGTAAACAGATCCTATTCCAAACTCCGTACAGTGATCGTTTCCATTCAGGAACTATTTTCCTTTATTCCATCATTAGTGTAGAGTAGTATGCGAATCGGAGTTGGAACTGCCGGGGATTTTGATCCTACTACATATGTGACACCCGCCGTGTTGGCCACGTAAGTACAAACTTGGTGATAAATCCAATTCGGTAGGCCACATGTATCTGTTCATTTGTTTTTGTTATTTCTCTTCTTGTGAACACAATTGACCTGATCTAAACTCGGTTTGTTATCAAAATGCAAAGGAAGCAGAAGAGGACCTTCTGAGTTTGAAAAAGGGCAATACTATGATTTGCTCACTAAACATGAATCGGATTGAATTTAGATGATCACGCCTGTATTTTATTTTTGTTTCATCCGTGAAACCATATAATGATATTATATGGTTAGTTCGTATCTTCAAAACTGGTCATCGCATTTGTACAAAACTGAATGATAAAATTGAGAATGGGAACGTAGAATGTGTCAAAGAGACAACAACCGACCAAGGAGCAGAAAAAGGCCCAAGACCACCAATGTTTCATTCGGAAGGAAGTCTAAGATCTTAATTCAATCTATAATAAATTTTCATTTAAACTAAATAAGCTTATTTTATAATTAAACCGATAAAGTATATAAAAAATTGATAAATAAATGAACAATATCAAAACTTATTTATAGTGAATGCAAATTAAGATAATAAGTTATAAATTTGGCGCATCCAAACCGCCTTTCTGGACTTTCTATGATTTTTAATGACCCCTTTTGAAGCAATAAATTGCCTTTTATGTAAGTTAATGATGTTACTAACGATCTAACTGAACACCACCTTTAAATAACAGTTAAAATATAAGTTTATAATTAAGATCTGTCCACTGGAGAAAAAAAAATGTATGTGTATTTTTATCTATATTCTCCTTGATACATTGAATTTTCAAATTTGATTTATATGTGTTTTAATAGAAATGAAACACTTATGGATATCAATCTTTGATAAATTCGACACTTGTTTATAATCTACATTCACCACTTTGTTCCTGGTATATTATATTACCTTCACATCGATTGCCCTGGAGTCCAGATGGACAACTGCATGCATAACTACCACCTGATACAGAACATGTTCCACATCGACAAGGGTTTGATGTGCAGGGAGTCACTTCAAATTTAAAAAACTACATGCTAAATCCTTACAGAATGAAATGTGAACATATGTTTCCGTACATGTTTTTTTTTTTTGTCGTGATGTTGTTCAAATGCATAAATAATGGACATTTCAACATAACTCATAGGCATTGAAAGTGTGTGTCCCGTAATTACTCATTTTCCTGTTTATCTTCCTAGGAAAAGAAGGCGTTTCTATTTAAATACTAAAAACATGAATCAAAATGTGTACCCATAGATCGTCAAACAACGCAATGATCAAAACAAAAATGACACAACACCAGAAGCACGGTGTTCAGTATACATAAACACCAGTTTGATAAGTCTCATTCGATTATAAGGCATATTCGCATGGTTGCATTTTTCCATTTTTGTTTCCTCAGTTTTGAGAGGCAAACGATCAATTGCCCAAACTTATGAATAAACAGTATCAGTTAGTGCAATATACAGCTTTAGCTCCATTGACAAAAATTACTAATTCTGGCAGTGAATGCTATTGAAATGAACACGATATATGTTTTTGTGACTTTTCGTTTTGTTGTGCTACATAACTTGAAATAGATATCATAAATAAATAATAAATTTAATGAAATGTTTACCTAAACAATATCTTCCTGAAAACCCAGACTTGCACGTACATCTAAATAAACTATTTACAATGGAACAAGTTCCCTGGTTCAAACAGATGTTTCCACTGCAAGGTGTAACTGCAATACAAAAGTTATCTCTGTAAAGTTCATAAGGAATTTAGGTTTTTTACTATTGTCTTATTCACTATATATTTGTATTAATTCTCCTCCGTTTCTTTTTTGCCTTCAAAATGTTTTCAGCCGAGCGTACAATCGAAGTTGGTAAGTTTTATGTAATTGGTTTTTGGCTTCCTTTTAATTATAATCAATGACTCGCTAATGACTTTTAGATGATTTGTTATATATTATTGAGTATTTTCAGTAGCTTGGATTCAAGCACCAAAAGACTGGGAACATTTGTTTTATTAACATTTACATTACTTTTTAGCAGAAGTATTAATCGTAAAGCGTATTCTGCTTCAAAACACGTTTTCTATACATGTTATTGATGCGATCCAAAAAACACATTACGTGTTGACACTCTGTTCGAATTAGTGTTGTAAAATGGAACTTTTTTACCTAACGTGTTACTCGGATAATCATTCCAAAGATAAACCGGTTAACAGGTATGCAAGTTAATGTTTAAAGAAAATGTACCCTTAGGGTAACTGGGGTAATGAAATATGGTCATATTTGGTCTTCTTCTGACCTGCAGTAAAACACTTGCAAAAGCGGGGCGTCCATTTAAGTGTACGGGAAGTCACGTCTGGTCAGAATGGGAATATTCAATCCGATGCCTTGTGTAGAGAAAGTGTAGCGCTCTTTGCACGTTAATAACCTGTACAGCAACCCTTTGAAGGGTCCTTAAGGGCCTGTTGCAAAGCTTAATTTCTGTCCCTATCAAATTACCCTCATTTTTATGTGTAAGGCAAGTCACGTTTGGTCAGAATGGGAATATTCAATCCGATGCCTTGTGTAGAGAAAGTGTCGCACTCTTAGCACCTTAATAACCTGTACTGCAACTCTTTGAGGGTCCTTAAGGGCCTGTTGGAAGGCTTCATTTCTGTCCCTATCAAATATACCCTCATTTTCATGTAGCCTTTCAAATGTCTGACCCGCAATATTGAACGACCCCTATTGCAGGACCTACCTTTGAATTAATTTGGTCTAATTCTGTACATGCATGAAATATTTTCCATTGGACGTTCCATCAAAGAAATGGCTGCAGTACTTTATCACGGTGAATAGTTATAAAACATGATGTATTAACGTTTATCGTCACTCCTTTTCATAAAATATTGTGTATAGTTCATTTCTGCATAGAAGTATGGTAAGACGTAAGGGGCCTTAGTTAAATGTCCACGGACTTTTCAGAGCTCCCGAAAAAGTAAACTGATTTCATAGAAAAACTGTCTTATCAACGTATTTATTGTGATAAATATTTGATAAATAATCTACCTAGAAGTATTTATCTTGAAGTAATGGTAAAAATGAGTAAAGAAGAGTTCTTTTTATGAAAACTCTGAACGTGACCAAACAACAACAAAAATTGCGTCGTATGCGGATGCCTCAAAAACTGAAAATGATAAAAGTAATGCTCAAAACAGTGACAACGGGTTGTCTGCAGCCAAACCCGTATTTATATTAGAGACTGATCTCTTCGGAACTATAAAACCAAAACCTGTAGACTTTTTAAATCATGCTGAGTTGTGCAGTGATATTGGCCATGTAGTGGAAGACAGCCATTTGAAAGGTCTTCAAAGGGTTAATGGAATGTGGCGGGTTTATCTTGATAGTGAGTCAGATAGGGAACATTTGATAGCTAATGGTCTCACTATCTGGAAAAAACACAAACATGTATATGATAGAAACCCAAAATTTGTAGTTAAAGAACACATCAACTACTTACGCATCCGGATAAAAAACGTACCCTTATCAGCAGACGACAACCAAATTGGTAGATATCTTGAGACCGAACATAATCTCAAAATTCACAACTTCAATCGGAAAAGGCTACGTATCAATGGATTTCTTACCAACTGCCAAACCGGAGACCGGTTATTCATGGTAAGTCCAGTACCTGGTATACAGCTACCTAGATTCATCAGTATAGGAAAATACAAAGCGCTACTCATCCACAAAGACCAAATTGTAGTAAATCCTTATGCTAAATGCAACAAGTGTTTACAGACGGGACACAAACAGGAGACCTGTGACAATGACTGGGTGTGCAACTCCTGTGGCAAATCAGGTCATAAAGCCAAAGAATGTCAACAACCGATGGACGATCCAGCAGCAGATCAAGATCAGAATGGTGTTCCTGATAGTGTACCTGAAGCTGCTAACGTTGATAACGTTCAAGATGAAACTAAAGATAAGCATCCTGAAGGTGAAAGTAGTGATGATTCAAATGATGATAGCGAAGATGATGAACAACAATTAGTAGTCTCAAAAGAACGTAAACAAATTACTACGAACAATGAGCAGACAAACAAAAAAGACAATAAGACAAATAAAAAAAAATCAAACAAAAATAAATCAAAGGAACAAAATCTGCCCAAGTCAGCTTCTGGACCCATAGATCACTATATGAACTTTAAAGATCCTAAAACTCCAAGCCAATCAACTGGGAAAAGGCAAGCAACAACACCGACCGATGAATTACATAAACAAGTAGTAGAGCCGACAAAACAGAAGACAAATCCCTAACCAGTGACCTAGTTAACTTTAATGTACAGTAGTGTGTTTTTCAATGCACAGTTTTTGTGCATATGTATATATGTTAGTTATAATTTTATCTTAACTGAAAAATGTGAAAAAAATAATTCATTGTGTGATACAATAATATTAGATTGTATACACTCTGTAAGGAAAAATATATTAAATGTTGATATGAAATATTTTATTATGATTATCATAAAAACAAATGAACATGATCAAATAGTTGATCCATTGAAAGTTATTATCATCTTTTTATTAACCAAGAATCAATTCAAAACACGTGTAAATCCCAATCTGAATGGTTCCAGTATGATTGGTAAATTGATTAACTGCAGCTGCGTTCCACATCACTTAGTTGATGAAATCACTTTCTTGAAATATAAAATCCATGTTAATAAATGTCTCAATTCCTCACATACATGTACCAGGAATAACTTTAAAACTGAACAAGATCGGCCATATACATGTACATCATCTCACTTAGTTCACCTGGACACAATTAGTAACAATTTCAAAGATTGGCATATTAAAAACACAACTATTGCCTTAGGTACCCAAAAAATTAAAATTAGTTCCTTTTATATAGTTCATGTATTTTTTGTACAAGCTACTTCCACCTCCATGGTGTTTGCCACTCTAAAATACCTGAAAAGAATTGAAACATATGTAAATAAAAGTTATTTGTTTGTTCTTTTACAATATAGTTTATATCAAACGCACACATCAATAAACAACTATTTAAGTAGGTCAATCAATGTAGTCGTCAATGTAAACATGTATCGTCTGTCAAACACAAAATATCTGCAACTATCTTTAAATGTTCAAATTTTTTTTTCTCTTTTTAATTTGCATTATCGTCATACATGTGATATACCTAACTAAAAACAGTATAACTACAGTTATATTCATGCAGACCCTATTCCAAAAATCCACAAATTTCTCGGTTTTCACCGAACCTAAAAATAGATTACTCGGTAAAACAATTCAGAGATCGATGGGAATCATGATTATCATAGCGTCTTTCCTGATTATTGGAAAAGTGTATAGTTATTTGAATGATATATTTGTATATTTAAATACACTTAAGCTTTGTTATTTTTATATTAGATACATAGTATTGATATGTAAACAAACAAAATTTAGCTCGAAAGTGGTTAGCATAATCAAATCTGTAATTTATTTTATGTAACACTGTTATAATGGTCATTTCTTACAACTATCCTTCTTTATAATGATATTTTTATTACTATATTGCGTCTTTAAAAAAAAGAAGTTAACAGTGCATTTAACCTTGTGTATATACAAACATGTAAAGAATGTAATAAGGCATGTTGTTCTAATAATAGTCTCATTAACATGTACTACTGGGTGGGTTATTACACTAATTATGAGTACCATAATTGTACAGTTACATTTAATGTATAAAAGTGAACAGTTCCTTGGTAAAAACAATGAGTGACAATATACATATTATATCCTTAAACTGTCAAGGTTTAGGACAGAAAGAGAAAAGAGAGAGATTATATTTGTGGAATAAACATCAAAAATGTAATATATTATTTATACAAGAATCCCAATTAATAGAGAAAAATGAACATATTATTAATAGTGAAGTAAAAGGTAAATTTTTTCATAGCTATGGAAGTTCCCAATCCAGAGGCGTTTCAATAATGATTAAAGACAGTTTAAATTATAAACTAATAAATGAAGTTAAAGATAATTAAGGGAGAATTATTTTGATCAACATGGAAGTAAACGATAACATTTTTACCTTAATAAATGTATATGCCCCCAACATTCATACTAACAGAAATAATTTTTTTAAAAGCGTAAATAACATCATAGAAAATAATCGCTTAGGTATCTTAATTTTAAGAGAGGACATGAATGAAACCATATTAAAGATAGATAGGAAATCAAATAGCTCTCATAAATACTACAAACCAGTAAATAGTCTTAAACAGCTCATTAAAAAAAAAAATTAATAGATATATGGAGGGAAATAAATCCAAACAAAATTCAATTTACATGGAGAAGGAAAAACAATACGAATATAACAAGTAGAATAGACTTCTTTTTGATCAGTCCAGACATAAGGCCACACGTAATCAATTCTGATATAAGACCTGATATGATATCACATACTGATCACAAAGCCATTTCGTTAAAAATAAGACAAAATCCCCATGGCAGAGGAAGAGGTTTCTTTAAAATAAATAATAGTATTTTAATAGATGATAATTATAAAAACCATATAAACAACCTTATTTTAAAATATAAAGAAAAGGCACTTACCAGAGATTCTAGAGATATCTGGGATATCTTCAAATCTGCAGTAAGGGACATAACTGTAATGTATTGTAAATACAAGACATCTGAAAAGAAAAATAAAATAAAAGATTTAGAAATGAACTTACAAAGATTAAATAATAAAATTAATCCTTCAAAAGAAACTAAAGATGAAATAGAAAAAATTGAAAAAAAAATAGAAAATCTTTATAAAAATGAAGTTAAAGGTGCACAAGTAAGATCTAGAGTCAAATGGTTAGAAGAAGGGAAAAAAACACAAAATTCTTTTTAGGTTTAGAAAAATCAAGACAAAAAAAAAAAATATTTCGGCATTGAAAGATAAGCAAGACAAAATCATAACAGAGCCATCAGAAATTTTAAATTTAGAAAAATGTTACTATGAAAATTTATATAAAAGTACAAATCCAGATGTTAATAATATTAAGCAATATGTTGAAGAAACAAAAATAGATCATAAATTAACTGATAACGAGAAAAGCTCTCTAGGCGGCAACATCTCAACAGAAGAATGCACAGAAGCCATTTTTAATATGAAGCTAAACAAATCACCAGGTATAGATGGTCTAAGTGTTGAATTCTATCGCACATTCTGGGATAATATAAAAGAACTAGCTGTAGAAGTTTTCAATAAGTGTTATGAGAAAGAAGAATTAACAACATTACAAAAAATAGGAATAGTATCTTTATTGTACAAAAAAAATGACCCACTATCAATAAACAATTATAGACCTATAACTTTACTAAATGTAGACACCAAATTAATAGCCTATACTTTAGCCCAACGGTTAAAACCTGTTTTATCGAAAATAATAAATTGTGATCAGAATGGATATGTAAAAAATAGGTACATTGGTTTCAATATCCGACAAATTCAAGATATCATAGATTACTCTGAAACTTTTAATATAGATGGTGCTTTATTATTTATAGATTTTTCAAAAGCTTTTGATTCGTTAGAATGGTCATTTATGTATGAAGCTCTTTTAAAATTTGGTCTCTCGCATTCGTTTATTAAATGGGTTAAAACTTTATATAATGGTGTCAAAGGTTGTATGCTCAATAATGGGTGGATTCTGAAACCTATAGCATCTTTCGTGGTATTAGACAAGGGTGTCCCTTAAGTTTGATTATTTTTGTTATAGCTGTAGAGATTCTGGCATGTAGAATAAGACAAGATACAGGTATTAAGGGATTTCAAATCAAACTTGATTCTAAAACACATACAATGTAGTCTTAAAATCTCACAGCTTGCAGATGATACTACACTTTTTCTTAAATCAAAACAAGAAATAAGCTTGGCATTAAATTTAATTGAAGAATTTGGAACTCTTTCTGGTCTAAAACTTAATAAATCAAAAACTGAAGGAATATGGCTAGGTAAATTAAAACATTCTAAAGATAAATATGAAAACATTAGTTGGAATAAAAACCCCATTAAAAGTTTAGGTGTATATTTTGGAACTAATAATGTTGAATGCAATAAATTAAACACAGAAAATATTTTGAGGAAGTCAGAAAAAGCAATTTTAAATTGGAAGAAAAGAAAGCTTACAATGATTGGGCGAATAACAGTAATAAAAACATTAATTATACCAAACATAACCTTTTTAGCATCAGTAACCAATTTATCGAGAGACTTTCTAACACAATTTAAAAAACTAATATTTAACTATATGGCAAAACAAAAATGAGAAAATCAAGAGATCTACTCTATGTAATGATTTTCAGGAAGGAGGTTTAAAAATGATTGATATGGATAGTTATATAACATCAATTCATATATCTTGGGTTAAAAGGTTAACAACAGAAGAATTTTCAAATTGGAAGGTTATACCTTTATATTACTTTAACAAATTTGGAGCTAACTTCGCTCTATTTAACATGAACACTGAAAATATATATGACATACCAAATTTATAAAAATCTATGCCAGAATTTTATTTAGAAATATTAAAAAGTTGGTATAAAGTACATAATAGTTCCAAGATAAGCAAGGGGTTAAATTTCAAAAGTGTAAGACAGCAATTCATTTTGGGTAATCAATCAATTAAATTAAATGGTAAAAGTCTTGTTTTTCCAAACTTGATAGAAAGTGACATTTTTTTTATTAATGATATCATAGATAAACAAGATAATATCTCCCAAAAAGTAATCTTAAATAAATTAAAAGAAAAATCAAACTGGATAGCAGAACTTTCTAAACTAAAATCTGCAATCAAAAAGGAATGGAAAATCATGTTAAAATCAAATCAATCAATTTCAACTAAAGTTCAAATAGACAGAAATCTGTACTTAGAAGTAAAAAACAAAGCCAAATCAATTTGTATTAAAAAATTAAAAGCTAAAGATATATTTAATTATATCAAAGGTATAGAAAGTGTCACACCTATTGGCTTCATAAAATGGAAAAAAATATTCAATCTAAATTCTTCAAATCATTTACATTATATATTAAACTTTACATTTCACCAGTTAAATGATAACAAACTAAAAATGTTTAGGTGGAAATTGATCAATTATATATTACCATGAAAGCAACTGCTTTATCAATGGAAAATAATGAAGGATAATCAATGTCATATATGTCACCAAGTAGAAAATTATGATCATTTTTTTAAAGAGTGTGAATTTTTACAAGAATTTTGGATTAAAGTTGGGTTACTACTTGATAAAATAAAAATAGGTACACATATTTTATCAATGCAAAATTTAATACTTGGATACAAAATTCATGACAGTTCATATTTTGATAATAATGTGTTGTTAACAATTGTTTTATTTTGCTATTTACAAAAGTAATAATGCATCAGAGTTAAAACACAAGTACATAGATGTAAATAGTTTTTTTTAAATTAGAATTCTTAGAATGATATGAAAATAGTATACTCTTAGAAAGAAAATGTAGTAAATTTTTGAAAGATACATTTAAATATATCTAATTAACCACAATGTAATTCAATAGGAGAGGTGTACAAGTACTCATAGTTGAGTAGTTGTGTGACAGGGAGTGTGAGTGTGCAAGTTTTGTGTAGGTATATGTGTGTGTCTCTGTTTATGTGAAAGTTGACATTATACTCGTAGAGCAACACTATGTTTCCCATTTATGTTTTATGTATACTGTTTCTCTGTTTACACGAAACGATTGGCAATACTTTATACAAAGTATCAACAAAAACTCATTCTTTATTCATGTTTTTGATCATGTTAACTTACCATCAGAATTAATGTCATCAATGATTGATATATCCTACCGTAGTCTATAATCGGTCATAACGTTGGTTCGTTCGGATTTTGTTATTGTACTTATCATACGGGAAAACTCCGCATTGACGTCACTACGCTAATACCAGCGTATAAAATTAGTGCAGAATACATTTTTTTCTACACTTCTAAATAAAATGATATTTCTAAAGATATGTTTTCATTATTATTCTTAAGTATTGTACAAAAATGCAGATTTTCGAATGGCCATTTCAAACCTGACTTCCGAATGCCTAAAAACATTTCAGAACTAAGGAAAACCCCTCTTCCGGCCTCCATTGCTTTGTTTACATTCCATTGAGCGTCATCAATCTTAATGGCAGACCAAACAGACCAAGCAAATCGTATTTCTAAGATTTTCAAAATGGCAAGCACCTTACGTCTTACGCGATTTTCCCGCGAAAAAAAACATCCAAATTGAAAGAAAAACTTTGGGAAACAAACGATAATCATGCCATGTTTTTGTTCAGGAATATAGAGTAGGTTAATAAAAAACAATTTACATATATTTTTCATAAAAAAAAATTTGGTTCAATATAAAGAGATCGATATTCTGACCATAAGTAAGTATTCATATAAAATTCCATTGATGTCAAATTTCATTGCTAATAATGAGGTTTCCTATTGAATAAACCCCCAATTTATTGCAAACTATTTCAAAGCAATATCATACAAACAAATAATATAATTGCCTTGTACTAAAAAATCACCTAATTGACAGTAGAGCAATTTGATTGGATATAACGATTAAATGTGTCACGTGGTTTTGAAGCCATTAGAATTTGAATTTAAACAAACCGGATCAGCTGCTCCAGTATGGAACAACATCTACATTCAGTGACTGAGAAACAATTATGAGTAACCAAGCTTGACAATACACAGTAATAAAAAAACAAAACTTAGTCTACAGAAAAATAAAATAAAAAATGGCCTTAACTGCACGACTTACCACCATTGCGGGATATCAGAAGTCCATTACTAGACTCATAATGCTTCAAGTTTTCAGTATTCTGTAGCGTGTACAAGTTATCGTTAAAGAAAACAAAACAGTTATTTCATTAAATTTAAAACTTACCAAATAAAATAAGAATATTCCAACACACAAGAATGAATAAAATACACGTGTTCGAGATACATAATAAACATCTATACCACGTGATATACAATTAAAATAAGTAAAAAACGTAAACAGAGAGAACGTATGTTTTCCGGATTTGTCGCTATGCAGATTTTGTAAACTATATCGATTGTAATATTCTATTAACCACTTTTGAAACTTATAATAAGTTTATCTTGTGAATCCCCTGGTTCATTGTATAATTCACACACAGGGATAAACCTATTTGGGATAGTTGTACCTTTTAGGGTATTTATTAACAACCAATTGTGCAATAAACTGAATAATTATTAAAAAAAAAAAAGAAGTGGAACGACCACTATACACATTTCAAATATTTTAATCAGCATTTGGTTCGAAATATGATTTACCCTACATGTAGGATGTGGATTATTTGCATTATTTTAATATTAAGTTAAAATGAAATGAACAACTAAATCGTAAAATTTGATCGGCTTACATGTATATCAATCTATGTTTTTTTCTTCACACCTTTACAAGTTATGTTTCTTAAGATTTTGTTCCATGCTGATACAATACATAGTGTCTTCGTGCTAATTGATTAAGGTAGAATAGGAATGTTTTCATTGTTAGATAAGTCACAAATATACTGGATAATTGATCTCTTTGAAGTACCACGATGATCATGTTAAAATATTAGTATTGTGATTTCTATA